AGACAAGTACACACACATACTGCATCTCTTCAAAGCTGCGTCCGGGCTAAAAACTCTAATTACCCTTCCTCCATAATATCAGATTCCATATAAAGGCTCAATGCTGACATCATAGTACTGCAATCTTCTCTGGTGTTAGCCTTTCGCCTTCTGTTCATCCTGCATGTGCAAAACGGGGCAGACTTACATGGCAGGAAAGAGAACTCCCTTGCCACTATGGTTACAATTCAAACTAAGACTTAACTGTTGAACACACTTTAAAAATCAAAACTAAAAAATTGGTTTGGTCAATGTTTTCAAATCATTTACGTGCTTGGTAATGTTATTGCTATGTATAGCTAATGCCTTAATGAAATGCATTTAGATATCTTCTGATGTCAGTGGAATTTATTTCCAAGGATGCATGCTTATGATAACAAACAGAGGTTACTTTAATGTTCAATCAAATCAAAGCTGAAATGTCTAACCAGATCAGAGGTTAAGCAAAAATTAGAATTATACCTTTGGATCTATAGCTCCTTCAGTCAAATTATAGGACTTTCTGACAGTAAAAGTCATATGATCATTTTTAAAAATGTACACTGATTTAAAATACAGAAAGTTAAAGTGCAGAAACTAAAAGTCTGCATTCAAAAAATCAAAATCCCCACATAAACTTCATTAAAACATTTATATGAATTTATTCAAATAGAAAGTAAGCTTTTATGATAGATGTATAAGCTAATATGGTAATCCTATAACTATCCATCTATTCAGAGAGGATTACTTACAGATTCATTCTAATGTTTTGAAAAACTTCTGAATATATTCAATGAAGTCAATTTCTTTAAAGACATTTAGAAGTAGAACCCTCTGGCTTTCCAAAATAAACAAACAGGAAAAGCATTTCAAGTGTATGACTATTTCCTGATCAACAGTTTTGCTGATGGTAATAATTTCAAAAATTAGAGGGAGTGGGGCATTAAAATGCTTGCTCTTCTAGTTTGGAAATTCACGTATCATCCCTAAAGCCCTCAAGATCAGGGGGCTTCAATGGGTATCCCAGCTTTCTTGAAACAGAGTATGTGGATTGATCATTTTATCAGTTCTTAAAAAAGGATGGATTTCCCAAAAGTTCACATAGAACACTTTTTAAAAAACCTAAGTGCATTATCAGGTGATTCAGAAGAACTAGATCAAAATTCTATTTCAAATATTGTTTGTTCCTGGGTAGAAAGAGCAAATTAGGGGTGGAATTTTGAGTAACATGGCTACAGGACAGATCTAGGCTACAAAAGCGATCAGAGGCTTCCTCCCTCTGCCAACTCCCTCTATTTGGTAAACTTCATGGTTCTAATCAATTAAAAAAAAAAAAAGATCTCATAGGCATAGTAAGTTCCTGCCCTCTGGTTATTCATTCTCAATATCCTCAGTTTAACAAAAAATGTTACTGCAACAAGGTACACATTTCTGTTTGCAGAAATTATTTTATGCATGCAATTTATCTATAGTGTCACTCCCAACGGACTCTTATTTAGTCAGAAAACCTTGATAGCACATGCCTCTCAAAGACCACATCCGATTTCTATCAGATGGAATAATATTTATCCAAAAATTATTCCTTAACTTTTTTTTTTTCTGATTACAAGCACTGAAGAGATAGTAACAGAAATATATATATGTATAGCCATACTATGAAAAAATATGGGGGTGGGGAAGACCCTTTAAAATAATTCTCCCCATCAAAAGCTCTGCAGGGCTCTGAAGCACACATGGAGATCTGCACAAGCTGGAACTGTCCCATTCACTTTATTTCTCCTGATGCTGAATTAATGGAGCAGTTCTTGCTCATACTAGAGATGTGAAAGCCTGGGGAAAAACAGTGGGGGGAATTTCTTGGCTTCTTTTTTTTCCATTTTCCTAATAAAAAAAAGAGGAAATTTGGAGAAAATTTTTAAAAAGTATAAATATACTCAATATAAAAGCCTTTTATGGTACACTTTTAGCATATTGTTTTAATTCTGCTCTACTCCCTTAAAGGGATTTTAAAACTTAAGTCACTATTTAAGAAAATCTATAGTCTTTAGTAGTAAGCACTGCATGTATGTGTATGTATAATATACTGTGTATCTTGCTGTTCCAAGCAGGAACAGCATACACTGAATGACACAACCACGTAGCTGGCATTGTGTACAGGAACATCTGCACAATGCATGGGCTAGACCCTCCCAAGTCCAGATGGGAGATTCCACAGAATGTCGTGGAGAATTAATAAGGCTAAGATCCTGTAGGACGTCCAGATCCAGACAGACAGGCAGGTACTGGCCAACCAGTCATCATGGTAGTAGACAAGGACCAGAAGACAGCAGTGGTGATAGATGTAGCAGTGCCAGGTGACAGCAACATCAGGAAGAAGGAGTATGAGAAGCTGGAGAAGCAGCAGGGCCCGAAGGAGGAACTAGAGAGGAAGTGGAAAGTAAAGGCCAAAGTGGTCCCAGTGGTGGTAGGGGCACTCTGGGCTGTGACTCCTAAGCTGGGAG